GAGCTGAGAATCTTTACCCAATAAATTGAGTGAATGTTCACTTCAATTATCCAATCAGGTGAAAATAAATTACTGCTTTTTTTTTTGCACGCACCTTGGCATTTACAGTGAACAAATATTTGGTTTACACCTGATTCATTAAGTGTAGATTCTCAACTCCTGCAGAAAATCAGCCCAGATATCTGAAATCTGTATACCTTGAAAAACAGCTAAAAATTCTTTGAAAAACACATGAATTTGCAAGCGCTACATTTTGTCAAAAATGCCTGCTGTTGTTATGCATCTGCCTGGATACCCATGAAACGGCTGAATTGCTGTCCTTTGGACTCAGCATGAGTTCAGAGTGTACAGGAAAGCTTGCATCTAGGCAGCGGAGCATTGCTAAGTGCAGTGGCACTTTGTCATGTCAACTGTCTGTGTTTTTTGACCATAGTAAGTGATAAGGCTAGGTTCACACTTGTCTTGTGCAATAATGCACAATATTAAGGTGCATTGCATTAAGGAAGCTCACTCACTTTGAATGGGCTACCAATGCACCCCAGTGAGGCCAAAACAACATCTGACATTTTTTTGGGCAATGCAATGCATTGCAAAGAATGCTGTACTGCAGGTGTGTTACCTTCTGCAGCACACCATTGCACCTGATAATGTGAACCCGGCATAAGTCAGTTAGTAGACATGTAATCCCACAAAAAATTTTCTTTGTTTCATATCAATTGTTTTTTAGATTCATAATTCGAAATTTGGATTTTTCATTTTCAACTCGGATCAATTCAAATCTATTTGGATGGAGTTTATAATATTGTTAAATGTGTAAATTAAAAATAAAACCTCACAACGTTTTTTTTTAGATTTTCACTTTAACAACACAGTTCATTTTGAATGACATTCTGACGCATCCAAAAATTGGGATACGTTGGAACTCATTATTGTTGCCATTCGGAAAGTCAAATGCATCCAAATTTTAAATTGGAATGAAACAAAACTTACATGTCTATCAGTTAGGGGGAGTTACTGTAGTCCCCACATTGTGGTAACAATTTGTTCTCTAGCATATCATGTGTTACTACAGTTCTTAACCCAGGGACATAGTGTGACAATTGAAGAGCAACTGTAATATATTTCCATTAAGTGCACAACTGAGCTATTTTAACATTTATGGCTTGTGTGAATTAGCAAATCCAACTTGTTTTCTAGTTCTTTCAGGGACTGTTCACTCCAGCTCCGGTGCATTCCAGCACGATTCGTTGGAACGCACTGGAGCACATCCCGGTCGGCTTCCAGTGTTCAGGGGCTGGAGGGGGCATTGTGGATCTAAACAAATGCTGCATGCACTATTTTTTCAGATCGCACTGGACTGGAACGCAGGTACTGATGTGCCACGTATTCTTGTGGGGGCGATCGCACTGCAGGCAGGAGGCCTGGCTGCAGCGCCATTGACTTCAACTCACTGTCACACCACCTCCCGCCCCTGAACGCAGAAGCCGTCTGGGATGCGCTCCAATGTGTTCCAGCAGCGAATCATGCTGGAACGCACCGGAGCTGAATTTCAAATCTGTCTCTAAAATAATACAATCTAAGATAAAACCTGTCTGTTTTCTATGTCTTAAACCGTGGCCTACTAAAGCTGCTTACATTGTGCATTGACAATTTTTCTGGCTTTTTTTCTGTAAAAAGATGCACTCTTATTTTGATTTAACCTGTTTGGTCTCACCCTCTGAAATTGCAGCTTAGTAAAATTGCTTACAAACTGTGCATTGAGTATGTACAATATTCCTGACTGTTGTCTCTGAAATAATTCACTCTAATTTTTCTAAACCTGACTAGTCTCTCCCTTTTATACTTCAGCCCAGTCAAGCTGCTTTCATACTCTCCCATCACAAAAGGTGGCCCAACGAAGTACCGATGGGGTGGTCATAATAATCTGGCCACTCAGTGTATGTTTGGCTATTGTATCTGAAATATTGCACTCAATCTTAACTTTAAGATAAAAACTAGCCCGTCTCTGGGAATGTGAAGTTATGGTTTTGAAGTGTTTTTGTGCACTCTGTTTGGACATGTTATCAAACTTTTAAAACAATACAGTGTTGTACTGTGAAAAAAGATCACAAGCTACACTATGAATCTGTTTTGCCACTGGCCAATTGTTTGAGTTGAGGGCCGCAGTTTCATTCTTTTAGGAGTAAACGCTTCTATAATTTTGGAAATCTTTTGTGGCTGCTACTTTCACCAATCAATTCAGTTTTATTACCTCTGGGTAAAGAAATCAGTTGTCGTAGCCAAAACTACAAAAAAAAAGCATTTTTACAAGCTAAATTAATTTAGGTTGGGGGTGATGCTGCTGCTGTATTTAAGCCAAGCAATAATGAAAATGTAAAAAAAAAAGCAATTCTACATCCAAAATATGTGATGCCAGCATGTATCACTAATGCTGTCTGTGAGCATTGTCGGAAGCAAATCTGAAGCCGGAAGCGGAAGCAAATCGCAAATCGAAGGAGAGGCGTGAAGCGCAGACGGGAGCTGGGCGTGAGGCGCAGGACGGGAGCCGCTTGAGCCGGGTAGCTGCCAGGAGCCAGGAACACCGACAGGAGCTGGGAGTTGGGAAGCGCCGCCGCCATCACCGCCCTCAAAAGAAAGGGAGATGGGGGTTGTGTGTGTGTGTGTGTGTGTGTGTGTATATATATATATATTTACTATTTGGGATTAAAGTGTAGCATAAAGTGTATCATTATCATTGCGTATCATTAACTACGATTTAAAGTATTCTGCTAGGTGTACTGTTTTCTAGGCATAAATAGTTTACGACGGGGCCTTAACTCAGTTATTTATTAATTGTAGGCTGGGCGCACAGGGCGCAATGGGTTCTTCACAGTCAGAGCGGTTAAGGTCTGGAACTCGCTACCGCAGGAAGTGATCTCAGCTAAGAGTGTGGAATCATTCAAGAAACTCCTGGGCGAGTTCCTCGGAGACCATAATATACAGGGGTACAGGTACGCATAAGGGGTACAGGTACGCCTAAGAGCAAAATCCCACATAGATTAATACACATGCACACACCTGCTCAAACATAAATGCATACACGCAATAGGTTGGACTTGATGGGCTTATGTCTTTATTCAACCTCAAATACTATGTAACTGTTCCATAACACCACATTCTCCCAAGCATGTCATTGAAAGGAAAGTTGTTTTTCCCATGTCACCCATGAACTCACATGAAAAGGAGGACCATCTTCACATTGTGCATTGTATTTTATCTTTTTTTTTCCACTGGTGCATGTCCCCCAAGGCAGTACCCATCCCCTATGTTCTTTGTTTGACAATCTTTTGTCTATTAGCCTTTAAAAAAAAAGGCCAACATGAATTTTAAAGACTTTACTAGGGTTCTAATTCCTGGGCTGTTTTTGGCATTCAATGAACAGCCCAGGAATCTAACCCAGTCCGATTAGCTAATCCCTACCCACTGACAGAGGCTTTTAAGTAATTTTAATGTTGCCTTAATATTTTTATTTGCTTGTTATTCCCTAAATATTATGCATTTTTGTATTGCTGATTTGCTGACTATATATCTGTAGACTGTGATTATTACACCTGCTTTAGATGGAGATAGAAAGTCTAGTGATTTCTGCAAAATGCTGCATAGTCTTCCACTTAAAAGAGCCAACAAATATATACAGGTGAAACTCGAATAATTAGAATATCGTGCAAAGTTCATTTATTTCACTAATGCAACTTAAAAGGTGAAACTAATATATGAGATGGACTCATTACATGCAAAGCAAGATAGTTCAAGCCGTGATTTGTCATAATTGTGATGATTATGGCTTACAGCTCATGAAAACCTCTTAAGAACCCCAAATCCACAATCTCAGAAAATGAGAATATTACATGCAATCAATAAAACAAGGATTGTACATAGAACAATATCGGACCTCTGAAAAGTACAAGCATGCATATGTACTCAGTACTTGGCTTGGGCCCCTTTTGCAGCAATTACTGCCATTACTTTTGCACGATATTCTAATTATTCGAGTTTCACCTGTATATAGTATAGCTGCCTGGAATGGCATTCTGGCAGTTATGTTATTTTGTAGAAGTACTGGCATGCCACGGTATAGGATTGTGTAATCACCTGCAGACTACCCAACTTTTGTTAGCCCGGTGTTAACCTCAAGCTCACCAAACCAGCTATGCTCATTGGGCACCAGCTCTGAATTAACAATGCTGCCAGTACTAAACCATTATTGTTTCACCAAGCTTGCCAAAGTTTTCTTGCATACAGATCTTATTCTTTATTCAGATCACGACCATCAAAGCCACATGAGACTGGTTTTTGAGTTTGCATCAAGGTCGGAAAAACACTTTATCTTACTATATGTGACACCACATCAGTCTGTAAGATCTAAGTATTGTATTTACATTCAAATAGCAAGTGAAGTTTTTTCTATAACAAAAACTCTCATTTCATA